CCAGGATGGTCTCGATCTCCTGACCTCGTGATCCGCCCGTCTCGGCCTCCCAAAGTGCTGGGATTACAGGCTTGAGCCACCACGCCCGGCCTATTTAGTCTTATTTTATATACCAACAACTTCCCAATCAAATCTGCTTTAAGTTCCAAACATTCAGCTTTTGTTCCAGAGGTCTGTGGAAAAGCAAGCTTTGCATCAATGCAAAGGAAAATGATCCACTCTTGCTGTGAAGCAAGTTTCAGGAAGGAAAGGAGTTGCAGCCAGAGGTGATTCCAACATTCCCAAATGCTTCTGGCTGAGACCTTCAGATTTTGTTTGAAACAAATTCTCAGAATACCAAACACACCTTTATTCAAGTGGAAGTACAAAAGCACATTCCTAAACCAAATGCATACATGTGATTTTTACATATTCTGCTTTTTAGGGATTACATAATCCTGTTTCAGTCACCACAGGTGACTACTGGTCTCTATACATAAGGGTATACATGTTTGATAGGAAAAAACACATGCATTTTTCATTTGCTTTTACATTTAGATCAATTCATTTATATATCAATTTCATTTAGATTCCTACCTTGCCTTGATGAGATCCTATTCTTGCTGATGGCAAAGAAGTAAAATATAGTGGCAGAACTATCCTAGAGGTTAGCCATAGGAAGATTACAGAGTGAGCAATATATTTTTATATATTTGTTGAGGGTCCCTACTGAATATTATTAACACTGAACTATGAAAGCCTCAATTGCTGGACTGACAACAAGAATTTTAAACAACATCTGTCTCACTCACAAAATGTTATAAAGCTTAAGACAGAAAAATACAAAATGTTTTGACATTACCTAAAGAATCATGAACTCTTGTTCGGTGTATGATGGTGGCCCTGAACTTGAGCCAACATCTGTAATCACTTTTATCAATCAAAAAGCCATGTTCTTTTATATAGCCTGTAGACTATTAAAATACAAAAATGTGGCAATGGATAAACAACTGTACACAAAGCCCTCACACTTCAAATACTGTCCTGGATTGATGAGGGGGGAAGCAGAATTCAATATTTATCTGCAATCCTAATGGTTAAAATTTTACCAGGAACAGACCTGCCACTCTCTTGAAATACTGTCTCTGAGATTAACATAAGAACAGCATCATCTCTGTTGGAAGGCTACATTCCCTTATGATGCTGATTTGTGTGTGTTTTTATTTTATTTATTTATTTATTTGAGACAGAGTCCCGCTCTGTTGCCCAGGCTGGAGTGCAGTGGCGTGACCTCAGCTCACTGTAACCTCCGCCTCCCAGGTTCAGGCAGTTCTCCTGCCTCAGCCTCCTGAGTAGCTGGGATTACAGGCGCAAGCCACCAGGCCCGGCTAATTTTTGTATTTTTAGTACAGACGGGGTTTCACCAAGTTGGCCAGGATGGTCTGGATCGCCAGACCTCGTGATCCACCTGCCTCAGCCTCCCAAAGTGCTGGGATTACAGGTGTGAGCCACCGCTCCCAGCCTGTGTATCTTCTTTATGTTTACCCTACCAAAAGCAGACCTGAGCATTTTGCTGGCCTGAGAGGTATATAAAAGAACTCTAAGCTTAGGCATGCAGAATAGGCACTGGATGAATGTAGTGAGGCTACCAGGAGTCTTGGTGGCTCCCTGATGTCCTTATCATCTCTCTTCTTCGCAGACTGTGGATGCACATAAGACAGCTAAAACCTTGGGCATCATTTGAAAATGTCTGGCTGCCTGCTACAATCTCAGGAGAGAGAATCCTTCATACTTACATTGGACTGGATGTATTTTCAATCCAATTATTTTTCTAAAAAAGATGCTTCACTTTAGGAAATAAGACACCAGACCAGCAACATCAAGTAGGTATGGAATACTTGCTGGTGAAACGCTTAAAATTAGGAAACTTCTAAATCTTCTAAAGGTGCTTAAGAGAATGGAGAAGTTAATCAACAGGAATCCAAGTGTTGTGGCTGTAAAGCAATATGACATAGGATCCCTAGTAAAGAGCAGGCCTAAGAGTTGGTTTTGGAGAGAACTTAGGCCAAGAACAGCAGAAAAAGCTAAATGAGCTACTTATGTCGATGTGTTTTAACACTGGTGCATTAGCAGTATCTTACGGAAGTTGTGAACACTAAGAACCAATTTCAAAAAAAAAAATAAAAATGTTTATAGGGCATATTAAAATAAAAACAGCTTAAATGAGTTCTATGAATAAAATAGGCCCGGCACAGTGACTCACACCTGCAACCCCAGCACTTTGGGAGGACAGGTGGGAGGATTGCTCGAGGCCAGGAATTCGAGACCAGCCTGGGCAACAAAGCAAGACCCCATCTCTGTTCTTTTTAATATCAAAATTATAATAAAAAAGTAAAAATAAATGTACCTACTTAGAATACATATTAAATAAAGGAACTCCATGAGAAAATGGCACTGCATTTACCAAGTCAACCCTAGATTTTTGTGTAATGAAAAAGATTGGGACTACATATTAACAATTTCATAAACAAATAATCAACAATTTTCTCTCCATTATTTTGATGTTGGGTAAAGCCTGAAATGTGGTGTCAAGTTTTTCCATTTGCATTACATCAAATTCTTGTCTACTACGGATATTCTGATATGACAAAGACTAAACTCCTATTGAAAGATTTGCCATTTACTACACCCAAATAAGTTATCTTAGGTATAAATTCTTTGATGTTGAATGAGTGTTGGGTTATGACTGAATCTCCTCACACACATACATGTTTATTACATTTATAATCTTTTTGCATGGCATGAATTTGATACTAAACAAGGTAGTTTCTTTGACTGATGGCTTTTTCACATTCACTGCAGCAATGGAATTTTATTCCCGTGTGAATTATCCGAATGTGACTAAGATATGAAAATATTAACAGCATGAAAAATTTACCACATTCAATACATTTATAAGATTTCTCACTGGTATCGATTTCCGGAGTCAATTAGAAGTTTAACACTAATACCTTTTCTTCATTCGTCACATTCAGAGGGTTTCCCTCTGGTGTGAATTATCTGATGCTGAGCAATGGTTGAGCTATGACTGAAGGTTTTACCACATGCAGTACATACATGATTTCTCCCTGGTGTGAGTGCTCAGATGCTGAATGAAGCCTGAATTTGACTAAATGTCTTCCCATCTTCATTACATTCAAGAGTTCTCTTTGGTATGAATGCTCTGATGTTGAACCAGGTGTGCTCTCTGACTGGAGTTCTTTTCCCATACATCACAATCAAAGGCTTTCTGTCTGGTGAGGACTTCTTGTTGCAGGATAAGATCTGAGCTATGACTGTAACTGCCCTCATACTCATTACATTCATATGATTTCTCTTTCCTATGCATTTTGTGATGCTGAATAAGGCATGAGGTTTGACTGAAAGCTTTTCCACATTCATTACATTCATGCGCTTTCTCTCCTGTGTGAATTCTTTGATGCTGAATAAGATGTGAATTCAATCTGAAGTCTTTTCCACATTCATTACACGTATAGGGCTTTTCTCTGAAATGAATTCCTTGTTGTTTAATATAGGTCAACCCATATTCATCATACTCATAGGCTTTCTCTTCATGATGGACCCTCTGATGTTCAAGTAGGTATGAAGTATGGCAGAAGTCACTGCCACATATAGTACACTTACAGGGCATCTCTTTGTGAATTTTCTGATGTTGAGTAAGGTGGACACTACGACTGAAGACTCTTTCACAACTGCTACATTTGTAAGATTTGGCTCTGGTGTGAATTTTCTTGTGCTGAATAATGCCTGAGCTTGGACTACAGGATTTATCAGACGCTTCACAGGATTTATCAGATGCTTCACATTTGTAAGGTTTTTCTCTAGTGTGTATTCTTTTATGTCGACTAAGACTTGAGCTCTGACTGAAAGACTTCTCACATTCTTTACATTTGTAGGGCTTCTCTCTAGTATGGATTCTCTGATGTCTAGTAAGGGCTGAACTCTGATGGAAAATTTTCCCACATACATCACATTTATAGGATTTCTCAGTGTTAGGGATGCTCTCCCATTTATTAAGGTGGGAGAGATCCATTAAGCTTTCCTTACATTCACTACTCTGAAAATCCTGTGTTAGATTTATGTGTTCATGTTTACCAGAGGCTGAATTCTGGCTGAAGCTCATGTCGTACTTATCACTGTCATCGGTATTCTGTATTCTAAGAACTCTCTGATCCGCATCAATAGTAGAGTCCAGACTGAAGCTTTTCTCGGGTTCATTACATTCATTGTTCTTCTCACTGGTGAAGGTTTCCTTGCTGATTGTTATTTGCCTAAACTCTCTCTCCAGGTACAGAAATTTCCTTAGAATTTCCTGAAGCCTTTCTAATCTGTCCTCAGACTTATACACTTCTCTAGTCTCAGGAACTTGGGTAATATCGTGTTTGAATCTTCCTACTCTCACTTTGTACGAATGTACTTCTTCCGAAATTTTCTGCTTAGGAATCGACAGCTTGTTTTCTTCTCTGGTCTCTCCATCTGATACAATATATAAATAGAAAATGCAAACGTAATCTGTACCCTGTGCTTAGGAAAAGAAAACTCAGATGAGAAAACTAAACAATGTAGTATCTACAAGGACAAGAAAAGTTTATTTCCTCTGAAAAACAGGCACAAAATCTCAACAGCAGAAGTAAGGGCATAAACAGGAGCAGTGAGGTAAAACAGCGGACATGTTCAGCAGAGTAAGGAGATAACAGGGAAACAGTTGAAAGAATTTTAGATAAGCAACTTCATTAGGGGTCTAGTACGACATATGCACAGGTACTAAACAAATGGGAAAGGTCAGCCTAACTGAAGGGAAAAGGAAGGAACTCTCCATGCTAGCACACACACAGAGCTCTTCATTCTGAGTGCCAAAGAAGCTACAACTTGGCTGAACAACTGAACTTTACTTCCCTACTAATTGATTGATTCTGCCTTACTCACCTGAGCAGTCACCTCTTAAGACTTCTCTAGTCTTAGTTTCCAGATCAAAGACCTGTAGATCCTGTTCCAGCTGGGAGATCCCATCAGGCTTGGAAATTGGAAATCCTGCTCATAGAGAAGGAAATGGAATGTGGCAATGTATCCCCAGGTCCTACACCAGTCACTTTTTCTTTTAACTAATGATTAAGAGAGAGAGGTCAATTCTGAGAAGGCATTAATTAGGAAGGCCTGGAGAGTGAAGAGGGCAAAGATCTTCTACAAGGAGCTCAGATTTGTGCTCTAGACAGATGTGTGTTAAGGGGCAAGGTGATGACTTGGGAGCAGAAGGATTCATTTAAATATTATTCAGACAACAGAATGTGTGCATGGGCTTGTCTTCACAGAAGTTATCATTATCACTCTCCATCTGTTACCTAAAGATTAATCTTCAGATTAGATCTGGTCTACAAGTATCAAAACGGAGGTCATCAAAATATAATTCTGCTGGACTGGAGAAAGGTGAAACTCAAGCACCTGCTGCATGGTTAGCTAACCTGTAGCAAGAGAATCAGTGAAAACGAAATAAATATTCTAAGGACCAATCTCAAGAAACAATTTGTTCCAGTGCACATAAGAAAAAAAAGAGTAATATGACACATTCTTACCCATTAGGAGTGTAGTATTTATTCGATAAACATTTATGAAGTGCCTCCTCTATGCAAAGCATGCAGGGGAGAAAGAGGCCAAGAAGGTCCCTTCCCTTGAGGACCTCACACTCTACACAGAAACAGCTCTAAACAACTAACTACAATAAAATATAGAGAGTAAAGTGCAATCAGTGCATCTTCACATAAAACAGTCCTTCTATGGCTTGCATAATGCAATGATTGGATATAAATCTCTTTTAAGGCTAAAGCAACACACAGCTTCCAAAGAGACAGAATTTTAACACTATTAGTATCAAAGGGCAGTTTTTATATTTGTCCATCCCAGAAAGCTTCTAATAGCACACATACAAGGTCTGGCTCAAGCCCCTCATCTCCAAAAACCTTTCTCTTCATTTACTGAATGTGTACCAAATTTGTTAGTTGTTCCTCTTACCCTGACATGTCACATATAATGGTGTTTACATAGATTTTTTTTAAGTGGTTTCAGGCATTATCACTCATACTTGATTTATAAACTCTTTGATAGAAGGGACCAGGTATCTTGTATCTTGTACTTCTTTTCATTAATTTACTTAACAGCTACTTATTGAGTGCCAACTCTGTGCGCCCAAGCATCAATGTATTAACAGTCACCCAATTTTATAAAAAGGGCACTGGGGCTGGAAAATATGAAGAGCTGACAGCTGCCCTGAAAATTCCACGTGACAGCCTATGAGCAAGGAGATCAGAATAGATAGAAGAAAAGTATTTACTGTGTTTCTGAAATCCTGCTGGACATTTAGAGTCAGTTCTCCTTGTGGATATTTATTTAATTAAGGTCTGCTATGTCAAATGAAATCGTTTCGGAAGTTTAAAAAGTAAAGTTAGTGTAACATGAAGCAGCAATCAATATTATTCTCAGAATTCCAATAACATAATTTGCAACTTTTAACTGAGATATTTAAGGTGTCTGTCGATATTTAGTAACTGAAAGAAATTCTGGCTGTTTATTCCATATCTACACTTAAAACACATACGCACAACCAAAAAGGTGGTCTTGATATAGGATGAGGGGTTTGATTTTAGACATCTGTTTAACGTAATATAGGAAGGTGTAAGAGAAAATGCCCAGCAGATGAGTATGCAAACGCATACAGAGTGATAAAATGGACTTCAGAGACTAAGAAGGGAAAGGGTGGGAGAAGGGACAAGGGATAAAAAACTACGTATTAGGCACAATGTACACTATTCCAGTGACAGGTGCACTAAAATCTCAAAATTCACTATGTGATATAATTCATCCATGTAACAAAAAAACCACTTGTACCCCCAACACTACTGAAATAACTTTTTTAAAAAACTAAGAGAAAACGCTGAGCAGGCACAGATACAATATCACAGTTTAGAAGAGGGAACAGGGTATCATCAGTATCATCAAAATATTATTAAGTTTTACCAAGTATTTGGTAGGTGTGAAGTACCATGCCAAGAGCTCTCTAGGTTTTCACTCATTTAATACCATAAATTTAAAAGGTAGAAACTATTATTATAGCCATTTTACAGATGGGAATACTAAGATTCACAGAGGTTAAGTAGCTTGCCCAAGGTTACAATAACTGGTAATGCTTAGTTTTCAAACCTGTAGAGTCTTATTTCAAAACCTAGCCTTTAAACAATCTGCTAGTAAAAAAAAAAAAAATATATATATATATATATATAAAATTTTGCCTCCTAACAAGCCCTGAAAAAAAATAAATAATGATTGTGGACAAAATTCATCCCTTCCTCCAAATTACACACAGAAAGAACATGTAAGTTTTCTTGCCACTAGCCTAAATGCCTGTTTCCTAAATTTAACTCAAAACTTTGCTTTCAAAAATATGTACTTGCTTTACATTTTTCCTGTTTAAAATTAATGTATTAAAACCTTTTGATTTTATTTAAATCTTGAGTTTTCTAATATGATTTATAAAATATTGACAGTGAAGTAAAAGGTAATAATACAAACAACAGAGAAAAAGTGATTAGAATAATATACGGTGAGCCAGGAGCCTAAATAATTGGGAGCTGTAGAAGTGTTACTTAAAAGGGATCTATGGCTGGGCACAGAAGCTCACATCTGTAATTCCAGCACTTTGGGAGGCCAAGACGGACAGATCGCTTCAGCCCAAGAGTCTGAGACCAGCCTGGGCAACATAGTGAGATCCCATCTCTACAAAAAATACAAAAATTAGCCAGGCATGGTGGCACATGCCTGTAGTCCCAGCTACTTGGGAGGCAGAGGCATAATGATCCCTTGAGCTCAGAAGGTCGAGGCTGCAGTGAGCTGAGATCACACCATTGTACTCCAGCCTGGGTGAGAGTGAGATCCTGTCAGTCAGTCAATCAACCAATAAACCAATCAATGGGATCTATGTACCAGGCATGGTGGCTCACACATATAATCCCAGCACTTTGACAAGCCAAGGCAGGAGGATCTCATGAGCTCAGAAATTTGAGACCTGACTGGGGAACATAGACTCTGTTGCTACAAAAAATTAAAATTAAAAATTAAAAGTGATCTAAAAGATGATTTATTATCAAGGAAATGCAAATCCCTTTACAATAAAAATGCAAACCCCAGCCAGGCGCAGTGACTCACGCCTGTAACCCTAGCACTTTGGGAGGCCAAGGCGGGCAGATCAC